AAAAAAAAAAAAAAAAAGAATAGAACTGCTAAGTCATAAAGTATGTGTATGTTTAATTTTAATGATAATGAAGTGCCAATTTTTTTTCCAAAGTAGATTTTTTCCAACTTCTACTACCCCAGCAGTATGTGAAAGTTCTCATTGCTCTGTATCATTGTCAGTCTGGTTAGTTTTAGCTACTATGTTGGTTGTGTATTATTATTTTATTTAGCTACTCTGATGGACATGTATTATTAAAACTTTTTGGCCTCTAAGGTTTTGTTGCAATCTTAAAAACTGAGACTCCCAAAGAGCTTCTACTTATGTTCATATCTCCCTATTTATCATATTAGAAATTAAAATTGAAAAATATTTAAAACATTTATCAATTTATTTAAAATAATAATGATAAGCCAAAGTATATTATAGGTAACATATTTAAATTTAAAATAACTATACTTCCTCTTTGAAAAGAATGCATAAAAAAATGCTATTCTTTTACATTCTTGCAAATCTCTTTAATGCCTGGCTTGATAGAAGACAGTTGGAATTTTGTATCTGCTTCTGAATTCTGTCTGTTGAGATATCAAATGCTATATAACCTCTGGATGATTTCATTTTATACTTATGAGTGAAGTGAATGAGAGTGAAAAAGGCAAATAACATCTGGCTTATGAAATTAGTTTTGACCTTGCTGACCTCTGAAAGAGTCTCAGGGATCCAAACAGGTTTCTAGGCAGCCTCTTTAGAATTGCAGCTCTAAAATATTTCTGTAGATGCCCACTAAAATGTTTACTTAGGACACCCTATAGACAATTGCATGCCAAACACGGTTAATGACATTCCCACAAGAATTAGTATGTAGGGGCCCCATACCTCTGTGCTTTGTGTGTTCTTTTCCCATTTAAAAAAAATATGCAATGCCATCATTTATAAGACAAATGTGTCAGAAATATTTAAGGCATAATTTCATGCTTTGATACATTCTATGTGAAATAGTTTTTCAATTTCATACAATCATATTTTGAACATCATTCTTACACTTAAAAGTCAAATTTCCAGACCGAATCCATGAATAAACAGATAGATGAGATCACTGAATTTGTGATATAACATGACTTAAGTGACTTTGTAAGATCAACCTCATTCCCATTTTCTCCTCATCAAGTTACTTTTGTCATTGCATTTAGATCAGTGGTAAATAGTTAAAGGATGTTCTGTGCCAGTTATTCCCAAGATGATTTTTTTTAATGCTATGGAAGTCATGGCCTGGAAATTGTTTACTTCAAATCCGAGCATTTGGGCTTTTCATACCTCCAGGTTTCTTTTTTTTTTTTTTTTTTTTTCTTTTATTGGTATATTTTAGGTATACAACACGTGTACTTCTAACAGTGTAGAAACATTTCCTGTTTCTACAATATTATTAGACAAATAAGATTGAATAAAATTTTTTTTTTTTTTTGGTATCGGTGATCAAACTCTGGTCCTTGCGCTTGCACAGCAGGCGGCAGAACCACTGAGCTAAATCCCCGGACCCCCTCCAGGTTTCTTAGTTCCATTTATCTGGTCATCTTTATGAATTATGGCCAACACCATTCAACACACAAGAGCAAATGCTATTCTCAAAGATAGACCTTTTCTGTCTTATTTCAGATACAAATTGTTTTTTGTCATTGATTAAAACTATTCTTCTGGGCAAAAATTTGAGGTGAATCATTATATGCACTAAGATTCCTCCAGAGCCCCAGAGAGAGAGCTGGGATTAAGACTGTTGTGACAAAATTCAGTGGTCTCCTGTAATTAGCTCTAGCTAACTGCTTTTGGCCACTTCAGGGCTGTAGACTCTTCTAGGAATTTTTATTCTATATTCAGGAAAATTTACAGAGAAGTTACCTGCCTGATTAATTCCCTCACATGGCCCTCAGCCCTTTTCCCACCCATTTCCTATTATTTTCTTTTCTGAGAGAGGAAACTGACTTTGCCCCCAGTGGCTTAGGTTATGCTGTGAGAAAGCCACTGTTGAGTGTATTAGGAGTACACACACGTCTAAGAGTTCTTCCATCCTTACCCTTTCAGTCTGGTGTAACTGAACCATGGCACCACCTCCCACTACAAGCAGACATATCTCCTTGAAGCCTGCAGAGACAGGAAAGCTACTTTAAATCAAATGTTTAAAATGACCTATCAGTCACCCATGCAGTGTTCCCACTGTACTCCTAACTCTGCTACTGCAAGGAATGTCTGTTTTTCAAATCAATCATTTAAAATGTTGACATAATACATTAAATTTTTAAGCAGTGGTACTGTATATGGTAGTTTCTTCCTAATCTTCTTAATTTCTTTCCTTTTTCAAACACCTGCCTTTTCCTGTTTTTTTTTTCCTTTATTTTACACCCGTCTTTATTCTTTTTTATTTTTTTTTAATTTGGGTCAATGTGATGCAGGCTAGAGAAAAACAGGAAGTATTTAGGGTCAGTAAAAAGAATAATAAAATAAGTTCATGAACTGAGAGCCAAAGTCATGAGAAGATAGCCAAAGCTAATGCCAGAAGGTCTCCCTAGGAGAGATAAACCTAGGGAACATGTCCCCAAAATAAAGCCCTGTGGATAACCACCAATAGCCATACTGCAAGGCAGGAATATGAAGGTAGTCACTAGGAGGCAAACAAATTCTGCAAAAAGGAGTTCTTTTTTGAATAGGCTCTAAAACAAAACAAAAAAGAGAACATTGTCTGATTCTCAGAATATAGTCCTGCAGATATATCCTAGATCTAGCATGTTTCAAGTTTGTATTTAAAATAATTACAAGGGGTAATGAAAATATATGGTGAATGTTTAAATTTAAAATTAAAAATGTATTATAGTAAAAGACATTACCATTAATTCCCCTCAAAATACTCCTCCTCTAAAACACATTTATTCCATTGTTCTTGAAACTTTCTGAAGCAGTTCTGAAATCTGCTTTCATGTCTTTAGGAGATGTGATCAGAATTAGGTGAATGCTGCTGCCACATGCCATCCAATGGAAAGGCAGAACTGTAAAAAGATTACAGTGTGTCCTTATTCACCTTACTCACTGGCTTCTGGCACCATTCTAATTCTGTCTTTTCCCCAAAGTCAAAATGACCATAAAAGGTAAATGTTTTGAACTGATTCAGAACATAGAGACAGCTGTGACAGCACAGCTAAAGGCAGCACCAAAGCAGACCTCCAGAACTGCCTCAGAAAGTGGCAGGAATAGTGGGATAAGTCCATTCCAAGCAAAGGTAAGTATTTTGAGGCAATTACTGGCAATGTGTCTTTTACTGTAACACATTTTTAAAATTTTAAATTCAGTGTATATTTGATCATACCACATATATGTTTGAAAGTATTGGGTGTTCATTTTTCATTTCTGTTTTGAAGGCATTCAAATATCAAAGACTATAAGCACATTTATTTATTTTTTCTTAAACTGCTAAAGCTACTGGATCAAAAGTAATGTTCTGATTTGTATATGTGTTGAGAATTGAAATGTGCATAAGTAAAATTTTAATTACAGGGCCAGGAATTTAGCTCAGTGGTTCCGCCGCCTGCCTCGAAAGCACAAGGTCCCAAGTTTGATCCCTGGTACCAAAAAAAGATTTTAATTACAATCATTTCTAACTCTTTTTTCAAGATGACCCATATGATCCATTTTTAAAAAAGCTTTAAAACCCATCCATTTAATCACAGCTCAGGTTAGAAGATGCCTGTGTAGAGAGCAGTCAGTCACAAGATGGACCTTCTGAAAAGAGGAGGGAGGCTTGGTGAGAGGTGAACATCAAGAAGCTTCCAACAGGCAAGCAGTGCACCAGCTGGGAAAACATCATACCAGATGCAACAATAACCATGAAGAAATCTAGGATGCATTGCAACCAGGGATTTTTGTAAATGGGAAGGGAGATATTTGAATAAACAAAGTACATTTTATGCTAGTTCTGAGTGGCACTTATACACTAGGGGTCAGGAAAATTGGCCTTCTGTGGCTATCCAGTGACCTACCATTCTGTACCTAAGCTCCAAGCACATTGGTAGTCATGGGGACCACCATCTCAGGTTCTTAACGCAACTTCTGAAGACCACACCTTCATTGAGGGGTTTTGTTTATTACAACCAGTCCCTGGATCTCAAAATATCAGAATCACAAAATATCAAAATCACTTACCTTAAAACCCAAATTTCAAAATAGAAATTCATAACATCCCCATAAAAATGTGTAAAAATTCAGTTTTACCTTAGAAGAAATGATGAAATATATACTGATAAGCAATTGTGTGACTTGCCTAAAATATAAACATATTTGAGCTAAATCACCTTTTTCTTAAAACCAGTGAGAAAAACAGGTAAGGCCATACCCCTGCTTCCCAACTTTGAAATAAGATTAATAAAATTACCTAGTCTTTTGGAAGAATATGATATTTTAGATTTTTATCCAATTAATCCTGTGCAGGAGGTAAGCAGGAATAAAGCAAGTGGATTAGAGAATTGATGAAAAAGATTGGTCATGTAAAAGCTAGAGGATGAGTACAAAGGTTTATATACTCTCTAATTATATATATGATTCAAATTTTTCATAATAAAAAGTGTAAAATTATATTTAAAATGTTAGCTCAATCTGTATTTTTTATTACTATTTCAAAAACTGCTTATTTTTTTTTAAAGTCTAGAAAATAAAGTGTGAAGAAGGATGAGGCTGAGGGTGTAGTTCACTGATAGAGTATTTGCCTATCACATGTGAGGCCATGGGTTCAGTCCCCAGCACCACAAAGAAACACATAACACGCATGCACTCGGGCACACACACACGGTAGCATACATGACCTTTCCCAACACTCCCATACCAAATATGCTAATAATACCACTGGATAATATATATTGGTCAGTCCTAGTAGACTCAACTAGTTAACTTGAATGGCATGCATTCTTCCTCAGTAGTGATGAATATTCATACTACCCCATGTTTTTGAGATGAGCAAATCCGTTATGAAACACATTGTACTATTTAACCACCAGCACTTGTGAGAATTACAAGGTCCGGTCACATTGTGAGTAAATAAATGCCTTGGAGTAACGTGTTCACCCACTACAAGTTGAATGAACTTTGTCAGACATTATCAGGTAATTATTATCTGCAGTAGTTTTGGAGAACATCTTGATAAAGCATTGATGAGCAACTGCCACTTGCAGAAAAAGCAAGAGAGGTCATTTCTTCAACCTAACTATAAAACCAGCAGTTTACATTTCAATACAGTTGTAGTATATTATTTAACTATTGTTATATAACAAATCACCATAAAACTTAGCAGGTTAGAACAGCAAACATTATCTTATACCACTTCCAAGGCTACAAGTCATCTCAAGGCTTAACTGGGCCTGGATATCCCACTTTCAAGTTCAGCCACAAGGTTGTGGCCAACACCAGTTCCCTACTCTCACCCTCTCCATTGGCTACCTGAGTGTTCTCATAACATAGTCACTGGTTCCCCATACATAAGTGATCAGACAGAGAGAAGTAAGAGAGAGAGAATTAAGACAGCAAGTGAATGAGAGTGCTCATGATTGAGTTTGAAGTCATTTTTTAAATCTAGTCCTGGATGTGATTTACCTTCAGTTCTGTCTTATCCTGTTGGTTATACATTGTAGAAAGAAATGACACAAAGATGTGAATACCAAGAGGCATGGATCATTGGAGTCCAATTTGGAGGCTGACAACTACAAAAGAAGTGAACTCCTAAGAACTAGAGATAAAATACATGAAATTGGACTTGCAAAAATTGTCTTTGCAAGGAATACAACTGGACCCAATCTTTCTGGGATGGCTTTATTACTAAGTTCAAAAAGGGAGCCAATGACTTCCAGTCACTTAAAACTTTGCTATTAATCTCTCTGGACAAAAGTAGATCACCAAGGTCAAGCACTCAAGCCAGGGGCTTACTGGACTTTATTATACTGTATTCATAGCTGCAGAGAATAGCAATAGCAATGACTGCTAAATTTTGTGTCATCCTCACCATTTTCAAGTGGGGTTATATGTCCTCTGCCAAAAAGCCTAGCTTTTTTTCTTGATTCATAATTTTGACCACATTAACCAAAGAATCATGGTAGAAGATAAAGCACAGCTTAGGGTTTTTGTCTTTGGCAAATTTAAAATCTCCACTCAAGAAAAAAATAATCTCCCATAACCACACCTGGAGGCCCTGGAGGAAAAAAAAAAACATGAGAAACATTAAATACACTGACAGACACTAGGTATTCCTAGGCCTCAATTTATACAGAAAAAATTTAACAATATGCCTCACTATCTTTCTCCATATTCATTTCTAAAACCACATTTATGTATGACTACTGGTGATTTTGAAAGACATTTTTAGGTTTCCTATTATGCTTTGAGAATGTATGACATCAATGCAATCTGACTTTGCTCACATTCTTGATCCCATAGCTTAATTGATGTAGGGTGTAGTGGCACATGCATGTAGTCCTAACACTGGGGAGGCTGAGGCAGGAGGAGTGCTATGAGTTTGAGGTCAGCCTGGGCTACATAGTGAGTTCAGGAACAGCCTGAATTACGTAGTGAGAGCTTGTCTCAAAACACACAAAAAAATAATTTTTTTTAAATTAAAAAAAATGATGTAGATAAACCATCATATTTATTCAGTAGTTATATTTATCAGACTTTAATAAAGTGCAATCTTTTGATAAGTAAATATCATCTCATTGAAAATGGAGATTAATAACAGATCCAAAAGTAGCCCAAAACACGGAAAACTGTGCAAACTAAAGAATGATTATTGATAAAGGGAAAAATAAATGCCTTGACTTTACTTTCATTAGAGCTGTAGTGAAAAGAAATAGCCTTTATAATAATTTTACATATTAGTAAAAGAGAAACTTATTCATTTTTTACAGTGAGATAATAAATTAACTTTCTTCAGTGGTGAGAGTTTGATGCATATGACATTCATTCTGAGTCTAATAGTCACTATCAATCATTACTTCCTCCCAGCTGAGCAGCACTTTTAATATACTGCAATTCTGAAGCACAGATTTTTTTTTTTTTTGAGTCTTCTATTGATGCTATCAGAACAAGTGGAATTAGTGTTGTCAGGTGTTTTCTCCCTGTCAGGATAATTCATTGGTAGCTCTTCAAAGGAGACTTTCTTTTTGATACCACTCTAAAGAATAAAGCACCAATACAATACCCCTCAAATAATAAAATTAAGTTTCTTTATCCTTTAAGAAAGAATTAAATAAAAAAAATTAAAAAATTTAAAAAAAGAAAGAATTAAATACTTGAGGGTGAAGAGAATGTCCTCTCTGGCTCATTCTTTATGAGTTATGTTTACTTACCATATTATGTAGGCTTTCTTTTTAAGTTCGCTTCATCAAACACTTTCCCAGGGAAAGACATTGTTGTTGATCATAGCAGTAGTTCCAGTGTTTTTCTCATATGTTTATCTTCCCACAGACTAGCTTGACCTTAACCATGGATAGAATTTTGTTCTGTATGCTGTGTGTGTATGTATGGTAGGAGGCATTGATGGGAGACTGGAAAATATCTCTTGCTTATACAAGCATGTAAGAGAAACCTCAGACACTCTGAGCACTGTCTTATCAAAAAGTGAATGACTGATAGCAGATCTTTTCCTAAGAGCAAGTTTCGGTAGGCTAGAAATGGAGAAACCATCAGAACACAGGATCCTAAAAGGGAATTAAGGAAGGCTAAGTTCTCCCTAAAGGCAGACCTTCCATAATGACATTCAAAGAAACATAAAGTGAACGTTTTCAGATACTCCATCTTATGAGTTCAAAACTACGGTCAACTTGGTAATATTCTTTTCCTTATAAGTGGTTTTTTTGTTTTTGTTTTTGTTTTTTTGATAACAGGGATTGAACTCAGGACCTTGTGCTTGTGAGGCAGGCGGTGGTCAGTGTTCTTAAATATATGTTGTCACTTGTCATTCTATTTTAGACTTTGAAAAATGAACAAAATGTCCTAACAATAGCAAAAAGACAAATCTAATATGTAATACCAGGAAGAATGGAAAAGAAAAACCTCATTTAACTTAATTTTTATATACATAAAATATTAAAATCAATAAAATAATAATCCTTCAGGAAAGTAATAACTCATAGCTCATAGCAGTTAAGAATGGCTGTTTGAATAAAAGTGACACCAAAAAAATTCATCTCATTGACATGATAGCATGTTATTCACGAAGGGGAAAATAACAGGTAAGTTTGCTTCAGCCAAAGTTCAAATGCTCACAAATATTTAATATGATTAGAAAAAGCTAATAAAACTTTACACACTATTTCACATTCCCCTTCTCAATATACAATTAATAATTGTTTATTGGTTTAAGCAAAGCTTTTGGCTTTATTCTGGTCTTAAGATAGAGTGTTAGGGTATCTAGAGTGATAAATGGGAAATTAAATGTAAAATTGTCCTTTATTTATTTATTAAAGTGCTGGAGATTGCACCTACAGTGTATGCAATCTTTACTGAATCTTTATTTTTTTGTCCAGCAGGCTTTATCACTGAACTACATCTTCAGCCCGAAAATTTAGTTTTTGGTAGTTGTACATCTGGTCCTGGTACCCTACTGAGAGTTAAGTCTAATCCCAAACAACAAGTTGGCATTTCCCATAGGCCTGTGTAATGCCCTGAACTTTCTGCACTTTTCCCATGGGGAGAAGAAAAAAGAACAATGAGTACTGCAGGAATCTGCCACTTTGGAAATTTGATTAGGTTGCAGTTTCCCAAATAAAATTCTGGAGGATACTAGTTTTTCTGGGGACAGCACATATTTCTGTGGTTCTTGCTGTCAAATGATTTTGGAAAACAGTTGCCACCATTACCCTGTCCCCTTAAAAACTCATACATTTATGGGCCGGGGATTTAGTTCAGTGGTTTCACTGCCTGCTGCGCAAGCACAAGGACCCGAGTTCGATCCCTGGTACAAAAAAAAAAAAAAAAACTCATACATTTAGGGGCTGGGGATTTAGCTCAGTGGTTCCACCACCTGCCTTGCAAGCGGAAGGACCCGAGTTCGATCCCTGGTACCAAAAAAAAAACAAACATATATTTCCCATTAGCTTCTTAGAAGTTCTGAAAATTCTCACAACCTTATATAATAGGTTTACCCACAGAATGATTTCCCCCTATTTCTGTTCCTTTGGGGTACATTGACTTAAATTATTAGGTGCTACAGAGCAGTATGCAGGGTAAAATGAATCACCGAGGCTGGCACTCAAAGTGATTAGTAATCATTGATGAGTTATTTTGTAAATGGTGAACAAAAGTGGTCAATCTGAAAACTAAGTTACTGTCTTTTTTAAGGTCCTAAATAAAGGTCGTGGAAGCTTGTTCTTAATATTTGAAGATGATATTAAGCTAAATCTTTGTATCTTTTTGTCTTAGCTATAAAATAAGTATATCCAATTGGCCAGAACTGGGCCTTTCTTAAAGACCTAGAAAGC